ATATATATGGACAATTTACTTCATGAACCTGTTGAAATTTGAGGTAACAGACACCGAATTTTAGGAACTAAGACGTCCAAAGTATTGCGTATATGGAATTTAAAATTCCTAATACTATTCTGGGTGGAGGAGAGGGGGAGGTGTAGTTAGACGAATTTAGGCTGGACGACAAGCAGTCAAAATAGGAAAATAACGTGTTTGAAGGAAACAGCACATGAAAAAGGCAACCCAGATTCCCGTTCTAAATCACAGAATAAGATTAATAAAAGCATAAATTCAAATCAAATACCAAAACCAGTTAGTTAATCACAGAATCCGACAAAAATCCTGTGAAAAATGCTAAGGAATATCAAAACAAATAATATTGTTAACAATTTTTCTTCCACCAAGTATCTGCTAAGTGGTTTTGGCTGCAGAAGGAAAGTTAATCGAGATAATATGCTCAACCTCAAGAGCCTAAAACAGGCATTCCTCCACTTGCAAGTTGATAAACTCGAAACAGTGCAACAGTAGAGAAGATTGAAATATGGAAATCGAATTGTGGAACTTAATGAATTGCGTAAATGAGCAATCAAGTCGATAAATCACACTCAACAAGGACCTTCATTACTGATCAAACAAACTTATGTCGAAGAGATAAACTTCTCATATAAAAAGGCCAAGAAAACGGTCGCCTGCCAAAGAAGAAGAAACCACCGAGCAAAGCGAAACCTCCAACTGAAATACGAACGATCGATTTCTTTTCGAATAATAGATGGCTTGGCTTGCATACAGTCTAAAGAACATTCCACAAGTCATACAAACTAAAAGGCCGCATTTTCATGATTTTCGGAGGTGTGTTCTTCTCCCCAGACCGTAAAAGAAAGCTAACGTCAGACCCCAATTGTAGATAAGCTCTGGATAACAGTTAGTGGAAGGATATATGGTATGGCGAAAGGAGGATTCAGTAAACCCTTAGGGGAGAAGTCGAAAATAATTGTTCATGGACATCGGTAAGTTGAATGGGGAAGAGAATTTGGATGCCACGACATCAACTCTCCTAATATAACAAAAAATAATTGGAGAAACACGTGCATTTTTGTTGTCTTGAATAAGAGCAATTTGAAACCACGAGAAATGGATCGTTTATGATGTTAGTAGAAACAACCAATAAGGAAACACCCATTCCATACACCAGTGGCAGAGTTGACCCTTTCTGAAATTCCTCCTTGCCCCTAGGAGAGGGGGGGGGGGTTTAAGTGGAATGCAGTAGGGTAAGTACAGTATATACATATATATAGCCCACCAAGAATTGCCATACAAAATCGACAGGATCAGAGAGCCCAGGTTTCGTATATGTGAAACATTAGAAGAAGTTCCAGGTAAATTTCATTGTTCCCACGTTAGGGTGATTTGAAAAAATTGATTATTAGTTAGATAATCTGATTTTGACAAACTTCTCAAGCATTCTGTATGGGACGATACCCAGATTATGCTAATATATTATTATGAATGAATGTCAATATATATACCTGCAAACGTTTTTTAATCGATTCGCTGGACTGGCCGAGTACTTGTTCATGGTGACTTAGTTGCTGATCGATTGCCTGAGAGGAAAGGAGCACGTTAAAGGAATGAAATAAATAAAAATGAAGAAGACTACTATTCGAAATCAATACCTGGTGTTGATCGATGAGAATCTGTAGGTAGGCATCTGCTTCGATAATCCGACGATCGAATTCTGAGACGGTAACTGACGAATCTAGAAGACGGCTAGTCTATAAGTAAGGAAATATAGGTAATAGCTTTAAATTAAAATGGACTTTCTTTGGAAACTGATTGTCGTTAACGTCTAGAAGTTACCAATTTTTAAACAACAACGAAGTAAGTATTTTTAGATATTCACGAAAGGATTAAATAGTAGAAGAGACGAAAATTAATAAATCTATCATATTTCAATTACCTAATTATGATATTAGAACAACCATTTGACTCATTGCAATTCAATGAAATGAACTGGCACAAATCTAGTGCAATGTTTCAAAAACGATAACTGAATTTTTTAAAATGCATGGGATAAAGGTAAAACCTATCTTTTACCATAACCCCATCACAATTCTTGATGGATTCAATTGTTAAGATTGTGGTGCATTAAACTACAGCAATCGAAAATGACAACATATATTGTTCCATTTAAGCTGAGAAGAAAGTGACTCAAATTCTTCAGCTTAAAGTAATTACATCTGACACTGTGACTAGTATAAAACACCGTTTGTATTAGAGAAGTAGAGTAACATGAAACAAACATCTTTTATTACTAAAACTTCATGCGGAAAAAAAACAAATTCCGTTATTTAAAATAATACGGATTTTAGAATTCAGGAAAAGACAAACAGACAATACCTTACGACGTCGCCTAAATCTTCTTGATCGTTTTCGAACCTAATTATTAAACACTTTAATTACTACAATTAATTGCTAAACTACGGAAGCGGCATAGACAAAAAGTAAGACATTTTGGAAACATCAATAATGCAAATAGAAAAAGCTATAAGTTATATAAAAAGGCAAAAAATACAAAAGCCAGTAAATATAGAGCAACCTGATATTCAGCTCTAAAACCTACGAAGAATCATATCAATAAATAACGGTATTCAGACTAAATTAAAACTAGTGAAATAAACTTTGAATGGCTGTACAAGTTATAATGGGAAAAGTTATCTGCCGAAAAAAGTAAAACTAAGAGAGCAATGGCATACGTGCTGGAGAAGCGCATAGTTATCAGTATGAAGATCTCTAGCTTCTTGAAGAGCATCCAACCATCGCTGACGCTCTTCTGCATTGCGGGCTTAAAAAATAATGATTTGAAAAGTGGGAAGAAAAAACTAAATTCAAGAAAATGTTATTTAAATTTTACCTTGAAAGTGGAAAACTTTTGAGTCAACTGTGATGGTAAATGTGCTGTCATCCTCATCATTTATACCCATCTGCGCATTCTTTAGCTTGACACAGCCACGTCGTTCTCCACGAATCATCTTTTCTCTTGACTAAATATAGTTAATAATAAAACTTTACAAACCACTGTAATATAAGCATAATGGCAAATATAAACTGCTCAGGACTAATATTATATTATATCTCGGATAAATGTATAAGAGTAGGACTTACTGTATAATAAGAAAGAACACCCATGGCCAAATCAAGAACAAACCATCTGTATTGCCATCCCTGGACTACATTTGTCCATTTACTCAGAGGACCTTCCATCAGGATACTAATAGATGGGCTAAAATAGCGGTGGGTTCGCTCCAAGCGCCAATTTCCTATTGGTTACGAAATCCGTAATCTGTAAACTTTACAAATCTAAAATATGTTAGTATATTTAATAGATTGAAATGAGTTTAAATCTCCCCATTTGTCTTAAATACTTACTTTAATCAAATAGTTTGCACGGATTTTCTTATCTTGAATTTGTATTGATATTAGTACTATATTGACAAAAGTCTTAGATACAAAGTGGAATATGAATTTTCTCCTTAAATTACGTTATTACGCGTTCGAGAATGTCCATAAATTTTATCCTTTCGAAGAAACTGTGAATATTAATATTGACTAAATTAAACAGTGAAGTATTTATTAGAGTATTTTTGCTTGCTTTTAAGAAATATCTTTCAATATCTTTAGACTCTTTGCATTTAATCCTAACAGTGTTAATTGCTATTCAAACCACCAAACTTAAAATTTACTTGTTGGTGTAATCACTTTGATTATGAAGAATGGTCCATTTAACCGCCTTATGCTAGAAAATCACTAAAGTAGGGTTTTCTGAATAAGTAAATCTGACTTATGCGTATTTGTATGTGAGAGCTAGATTCACCTTAAGTCTTTCCTAGGTTGTATGAAATAATTACACTGGATATCCAGAGCTTTATATATTTATATTACGATGTTTGAGAATTTCTCCGAAACCTCCACATGAATACCCACTTAATTGAGAATTTTTTATTTTCCCATGAATAGTATCGCTCCTGTTTGTGTTTCAAATTATACTGAAAATACTGTTTTATGATTTAGTGCAGTCGTGCAGGCCGAAAAGCACTTCTCAGTCCTGCGAATTCACTGCTCTATCCTGGGATGAACTGTACACATCGTGTATTCGTTCACATGCTACACTGGCACTATCACAGTCTATTGAATATTTGCAGTAAACTCCCACCCCTCCCATACCCTCACAAGTTTAATCTTCAGTATTAGCTTATTCCTTTAAATCGTTTTATCAAGTCACTCGACTGTATTTGCGCCATAATAAAACGGTTTTCTTGGAACAGCCTCCACAGTGAAGAAAGAAATACGGCTGTAGTAATATTTGAGGGATCAATAAGTTCACCATACTTTAGAAGTTCAAGAGCTGTGCTTAACTGGTTATATTCCTATTATGAAGCTCTTTCAGTAATGAGTTCTCTTGTGATTAAATTCCTTCTTCATCCTTCAAAGACAATATAAGTAGTACATTAAAAGTGTTGCACAACTAATTTAGGAAAACTAAATTTTGCAACTTCAGAAACTTACACCAACCCCTAAAATTTTCCTCTCTTTAATATAAACGGACTCAGAGTCAACTGCCATATTTACTAATACTGTAATATTAAAGCTGAAAATGTGAACAGACAGGAATCTATTACAGATTTACCAATAAATAGTGCAAATATCAATTTTTATTGGCAAAAGAAATTTTTTGCTGTGAATGGCAAAAAAGTAGGTTCAGTGTCGTCGTCCTCTCTCTCTTATTATCAAAACTGCAATGATACTTAATAAAAGGAACCAGGGGTTGTGCGATAGACTTACCTCCACGTGGTGCACCCTGGGCAACGTATACTCATACGACAAAAAAATCTATAAATCGGCAGTTGACTTCTGACTTCAAATTACCATGACCCCACTGTATATCATATTCGACCACTTCCACAGTACTCACCTCACCTTTTTTCTACCCTTTCTACCTTCGTCTTTGAAACACACTTCTGTTCCCCCTTCCTCAATCTCGACTTTTTCACTTAGAAGTTGCTTCCCCTCTGTGAAGCCTGAAGTCAGCTAAATGGCTAATGATAACCATCAAAACGCCTGCCATTTGATATAAATAAATAAAAGGAACCAATAAAACAGTTTTACTCGAGCGGTCTTTTCTCATATAATAAACTGGTTAAAAATAAATTAAGGCTTTATGGGAAGTACTCAATTTAGAAGAGCAAATAAGGTGAGCTCCAAATAGAATGGTTAGTTAATTTGAAGAGACTTTAAATTGACAACAGTGTCCTAATGTTAAAATTGCATTTTATTCCTATAAGGGTCTGCCTAGGTAATTAAAAGTCTAAGGTGAAGGGTAGGGATCGAAGCCTCTAGAAAACATTTTTCCCCCTGGCGAACGAATAACCTCTACGGTCCCATTGCCATAGTAGCGATCGAACCCACCCCGATCGACTCGATATTTCATTGGTTGGGTTCCTCCATTGGGTGGATACGTGGGATCTGTTTGTGTTCTTCTCGTTGAAAAGAGACGCCTAGGTGGATGCTGCTGCCTAGAACCTGGCGAGTGAATACAGCATCCGGAGCATTTACTACACAATGCTTCTCTCTTACTCTCCACAGCAAGTTGCTCAAACAGCGCAATATTGGAATCAAATTTCTGTGATATTGACGTCTCATCAATCCCATCTTGAGGCAAGTAACATGGAAACGGAGGTGGTGATGGTACGAGATAGTTGGTGTGTCTTGGTGATAGCCGCCTTCTATCTGTTAAAGCTACACGTTCACGTACCTCTCTTTCCGTTGTCTCTTCAAGGTTGCCAGGTATTAGTCGAGGAGGTGAGTGGGTCCGTACTGGCGAATAACTTCCCCTTACTGTATGTATTCTCTTTCTACCTCCACTAATTTCTTGTGCACGAACCTTCCATGCATCCTCTTCTCTCAGACCTGCTCGTGGAACACTGTATCGTTTAACTCGATAAGATTCTGGTCGACTCAAATTTAAACAGGATGCGTATTTCCGCTCAACAGGAATACCTTTCCATTCGGAGAGATTCACAGATCGATAGGGCTTTTGTCCGGATCTATCTATATGCTCTAGATAGGAGTAATTCAAACACGGACTGGGTCGATCTCTCATTCGAGGACTAGGAGATCTCAATGTATAGTAATCGGAACAATCCACAGTTAGTTGACCCTTTCGATAATCAATACTCCTTGGGTAGCCCATAGGTTCAGGTGAAGTTGGAATTATATAGGAAATTCCATTATTGTTTATTCGTTTATAAACATCTCCAGACTTTGTAAATATTCCATCTGGCCAATCGTTGCACCCAGCAGCCCTATTCACGCTTCTTGGACTAGTATTCCGATTTATTCCAACTAATTTTCGTTTCGTTGGGGAGTAGCCATTGGAACATCGGGTTGCCTGAGGCATAGACCATCTTTCTTCCTTTTCTCGAGGGTTTCGTGTTCTCTCTCTGACGATACTCCTTGAGTATCCACTTCTCGTCTTTGTCGGGGAATCTCCCTCAAGAGATAATGATCTTAGGGATTCCGGCCGTTTAATAGGTGAGAGTGGTTCATAAACAGCACTTCTTGGGCGACTTTTTAGAGTCCCGATAGACTGGCTTCTCCTAACTCTTCGGACAGGTCCAGGACGTTCTTTTAACAAAGACAGATCTTTCGGAAGGTACATTGTATTAGCATCTTCAAACTTCCGTTTTAAATCGCTAAAAGAAGCGGCTCTCGTTGTTATTACAACTGCATGATTATCGTGGCCATTGAGCTGATGTTCTATATCGTATTGGGTGGGCACAGCCATGCTGGTTTCCTCAGGATCCTTGATTAAAGTTAAATCTACAGTAGAGGGGGATAGATCTTGGGGTTGTGCGTCAAGAATATTTGTTAAGCCAGTTGATGTGGAGCAGAGTTCTGACTCGTGCTGTGGAGATCTATTCGTTTCGACTCGTTTGTGAGTTAGTTTCAGCTGAGGGGAGTAAAAGAACTCAGTCGAACGACGCAGGTGTGATTTCTGGAGGTCTTCAAATTCGTGAGGTCTTGAGAAACGTGTACTAATACTAACGCGAGTTGTGCGATATTTTTCTTGAGAACTGGCAGGTGTAAATACTTGACCGCCAAAAATGCAACCCGATGACTGGCTGGATAGTTGTGGGTGTGAACCAATAGGATTGACGCAAAAGGCACTAGGACAGGGAAATTGAAGGGTTGAGTTGTAGACACGACTTCGATATCTTTGAAATTTGACTTCGGTTTTACTCTCTCGTATATCGGGAACGGATTTTGATCTAGTTGGTTGGAAGGTATTTAATGAGTTGTCTGGCTGGTAGTCAGCACTAACAGGCGCATGCTTTCCCACCATGAAAATTCCTGCATTGCAAAATAACATTTATTAATATAAACTTATGTTAATTTTTTTAGATTTTTTTAATCATAACATTCCAAAATTAGTTCAAAATATTCAATCAAACTACCACACCCATTGCCACAAAATGTGGCTTTCATTCACGTCAATAGATAATGTGTTAATTCACTAATTAGTTTTCTAGCGTCCTCCTATTTCTCCCTCGGTGACAGCACCACCTGAACTTCCATCATGTTTTCGAAAATTTGAATCCTCTTAGAAACGCGATACCCCAACAACTGCTTGCTGTTACTAAAGCAATCAGTGTTATAGAGCGAAGTAGCGACTAACAGAAAATACATAAAAATAAAAATACCACTATTTAATTTTTTTCGTTTCTACACAATAATCAAACTTAAAAGGCAATTTAACACTTACATTCACTGAATTTGCAACTTTCTGAAAACGTTTGTATAACTTTAATCTACTAATCGAATAATTAGTTCCATTTCCTACTATCAAACTAAAATATCTTTCAAAAAGAAATAAAGTTTAAAAGAGAATATTTTGAAATTGTGATTTAATCGAGAGAAATTCATGCAAAATATATCTTATCTACAATACAAAATGACAATAGTCGTCTTTATTACATTACATGCAATTAATCGACATTTTTCAGCATTTGGTGATTTTAAGATGAAATTGGCTGACTCACGATTTCAGAATAACCAAAATGTTTGCTTTCTACTTCTTCTTAAGTTGGCATCGACGTTAGAGAATTAGTTTAAATACATATGAAAATCTTTTTTCGTTTACACCTGCATCTACTCACACGAATGTTCATTTTACCCATATGCTCGCCTCTTATTGGTTGAGCGTTGACGTCCTGACTATAATTGGCTTATCGATACTGAAAAATCTCACTGCCCCAGGTCTGAATAACCATATAAATGTATTAGACTGTAAAATGACATTCACAGTAGTTTTGGGCAATAATATGACTATTATGGTTGTCTGCAATTTCGTGGTTCCTTTTACTTCAGTCTTTTTGACTGACCTATTCAGCCGGCTTTATCTGCAAAAAACCGACGTCTTTTGTATACATAATACACTAACTGATTTTGCCGTAGTATTTTGGTATAGAACAACACGAACGAACAAAAAATAATTCTATAAATTCGAAATAACTAGGACTTATTTACTTGAGTGTTTTGTTTTCATTGCAAACGATGAGATGAATGAAGGCATTCAAAGTAAAGTAACATTTTAAGGGACAATTAACCAGCCACGGTAAATGCAGATCTGCAAAGTCATTTTACTAGCTGAGACGCAGATCTTGCCATTTCGATTAAAAAAACAAACCATATATCTAAAAAGTGTATTTTGGAAATCGTTTCCCTCTACTCGTTTGAACGGAGGCTCGAAATTACAGAGCTTCCGTCACTCACTTTATTAGGCACAATGAACCAATGTGATTGGCTATTCCGATCAATGGGTGTGTACCGACAGCTATCGAACTTGGGACTTCTGCACTATAACCGCTACACCATCAATCCGCAAGATTAAAAATTCGATATCATTTAATTAAATCGAAAATTGGGGGCTGCAAACATAGTTGTGGTATCATACTGAGTCTTAAGTTCACACTCTTAACAGACAATTTTAATGTTTATCGTTTCTAAACATATTTTGAGGGCAGTCTTATCATTTTCTCGCGATAATCACAATCCCGATATTGCTCACAACAACATCCTATTGTAGAATACTGATGCCTAAGTTGCTAATAATTCAATAAAAGTAAAATATTCACTGGGATTCTATAAATTAGGATATCAGAGAATAACATGCATCGTTGCCAGTCCCATAAAATGATATCGTCCACAACTAAATATTGTGAAATAATCTCAACCATGAATTATGAAATCCACTCATGAGATCACGAAGACCTATTTGTAAATGCAAAGGAACTAAATAGGCAACAGTCTCGTTTACCCTCTTTATTCTACACGGTCAAAGAAATATCCCTCTATATCTTCAAATCCACGTAAAAAATTGGGCCAAAAAAAGAGTTTACAGAAACATGAACATGATCAAGTTTAAATCTTCTCTCGCTCTTTTCCTAGTAGGCGATGAATGAAACGGTCCAGTTTTTCATCCTAACTTTAATATAAGTACTTGAATTAAAAAAGGCTAGACTCATAAATCACTTCGTAATTAAACAACTAGATATTTATTATGGCTAACTATGTCTTGTCACTTTAAAATATAAAAATGATGCAAGCATTAATGAAACACCATAAAATCTGCTAATTCGAGAATGCTTTTCAATATTTAATTTAAACAAAGGCACTGACATTGAAAGTGCTTTTAAAAAATCCTTATTTTTAAACTCAGACTTCAAAGTATTTCCTGAGCTTTGCAATCAGTGAAACGGTACAAGCATTCGAAACGGAGGTTTTTTGCAAAATTGGGTGTGTGGAATCAGCCGTATTTAATAATAGCGCGTCTAGAAGTAAATGAAACAGTGTTTAAAACATACGATATTTACTCGCATTTCCGCCATAGCCAGAAAGGGAGATTTCCATTCCAATTTATGATAGGGAATGTAGGAAATATTAATTGTCCCGGCTGCGACGTCGTTAGAGGAGAAATGGCTACCACAGCTCCCAACAATGAACCTCCGGATGCAGAACCACGCCCTTTAGAAAATGCAATCTCCGCACACCCCCTCCTCTCTAACCCTCCACTCCTCTCCCTTCCAGATATGAAGCGTTTCTTCTTCTACAGGACTACTATTTATAATGAGTAGTAGTATATTACGGATCAGGAAGTGTATCCGCGTCAGAATTATGTTAATCAGAGCCTGGATGTGAACTTATATAAACCGTTAGTGACGGTCTTACGATGAGAAATATGTTTACCCTCGAATCCACACTGGCATAGTTATTTATCTCTATCAAAAGAGTTTACTTCTGTATTTTAAAATTGTTTTTATTTTACGATAAATAATTGTAGCCTAATTACAATTCATTGAAACCGAGTGTGTATCCAACTTAAGTTTAAGTAAGAACAATTTACGTTTTAATTGCTTATAAATAAAATAAATATATATTTATATTTGAGATGGCTAAGTGTAGTGTATAACGTAAACAATTCAGGTAATTTAAAATTAAAAAATTAGGTATATTATGTCTTTGCTAGGAAAATTACCGTTTTTCAGCGTTGAGACGATAAATGAACTTTTATTTGACAATTTTAAATGGGACTGTTAATATATAAAAATAGGCGAAATACGAAAATTTAATTACTACTTCTCTGGAGCTTGTTCGATCATCTTTTACGCGCAGGATATACCCGAAAAGTTCATTATCTTATTCTTGGTTTAGTGGGAGAGAAGGCATATCAAAAATTGAATCAGATGAAGCATGACCTCACTGCTCAGATTCATTATTTTTAAATGATTCTGTCTTGAGTAAAATTGTTTCTAATCTTCGTAATTTAATTACGAAATACTAATAATCGACATCAGCCTTTTTAATTTAGATGGATAGATGCTTTTGGATGATTGAAACTTCAACTTTTCAAGCAATCGTTCCTTTGAATTTTTAATGAGCCACCTCAAGTAGTATATTGGGTTTTTGTCACAAAAAAACCCTAGCAAGCGACCAGATAACACTTATTAAATTTACTTCTTTTTCAGTGGCTTATTATTTTTAAGCGTGTGCAAAGCAATAATCAAGTTAAACTTAAACTCATTAACTAAATTTTCACCAACTTATAATCACTGAAACGATTGTTTGAACTGAAGAATAAATCCTTGAATGAAATTTACTGAAATAGGATGTGGACACTTCTGATTAGAATACACCACTCAATTTAACTTGCTTTGTTCGGTAAATTTTAAGCCTATTTGAAATGTCAATTTTACTTGAAATATATGTCGAATACTATCTTGCACGTTATTTTATGGACGATGGGGTGTGCGGTAGGCTTACCTCCACGTGGTGCACCCTGGGCAGCGCATACTCATACGGCAAAAAAGTCTATCAAACCGG